TACCGTAATTACGTTAACAAAATCACAATGTAGTTTGTTTGTCTCCTCATCTTATTTCTGGACTTAGAACCTTGTTATTGTAAATTCTCTTATTTTATATACCTAAACAAAGCCTTAAACATTAATTTCAGGAATGTGTATTCCTAGAAAAACATTGTAACAAAATTACTTGGTAACGGAATTACATGGTAACGGAATTACAACGGTAACAGAATTACAAAGTTTAGTTTATTTTTGTGAGTTTCAATCTCCGACCGAGGTTACTCTTCTGTGAGAATCACTAGTGGAGACAATGTTCTGTAGGTTTTTCAGATTTATATTGGTTTAAGTGTTTTAGAAGCTTTGAATGTGAGGCATGCAACGCCGATCAGTTTCCTTTGTATGCCACCATAAGTGTCGCGAGGTTGGAAGGATTCTGTCCTTATTTAATAATTTAGTTGGCCCATGTGAGGTAATTCCCCATGGCTTAAATACGTGTACGTTGTAAACGATAATTTCTGGTGCCTTGTGGTATCTTTAGGCTACCATTCATGCCAATTTTTCTGTCAGAAAGTCTTAATGTGAATTCGTCATTACTTTAGTTCTCAAATCTCCCGTTGGTAGCAGCAGCGGCTTGAGTATAACCTAAAGCACAATAATAGGATTTTTAACTAAAAACTTAGTAGTTTATGGTTATTTCATGGTTATTTCATTACTCAGTATGTATGCGTGCTCGAGTTAGAGTTTACTTAAGATAGTTGTTTTTGTATACTTTTAGTTTACCTGTGCATACCGTGTCCTCAGTCCGAGACGTCTTCCGGATGACATTGAACTTGGACGGCTGCCAGATTGCGTCTTGGGTGATGATGGTAATTACAAAGACTTCGACCAGGTGTTTGGAATTCAAACAGAGGATATAGCACGGCCAAATTTGCAAGCAAAGGATAGCCCTACTGCAAATGACAAAAGTAACAAAGGAACTCTTGTTGCAGGTCCACATAGCATAGCAATTATTCATATGCTATATTATTTACAAAACTGATACATGTAAATTAATTAATTAATTTTTACAGGTTATAATGATAGCGCAGGAAATGAATCAAAAGGTAAATACGCTGTATGAATCTTCTATAGAATATGCCATTCTCTCTTCCATGGGTGTACCTTGTGTGACACTAGTCAACACAAGATTAGTTTATTTCTGGAGAATAGGTTTAGAGTTAAACAACAAAACTGATAAACATAACATTTTTACTCTTAACATTAATATTTCTAACACAAGCATCTGCAGAAACATGGAGAAATATGTATCTGCTATAAAATAAGTCTGCACACACTTGAATAATGCATCTTAAATGCATGCCTATAACAACATGCCTGTTATTCATTTCTATTTACCAGGCTGTACAAGGGCAAGTAGTGTCACAGCAATCGGGTGCTTTGTTTTCCAACAAACTGCCAGCTGTTTTTGAGAAGAAACCAGTGTAAGTCAGAAATTTCCCTTTGGAAACATTGAAGCCTGTCATTTACACACATAACCTACATTTAATTTAGTTGACTTTGTTGAATGCCACAAGACACATCTATTATAACAATGCAATTATCACATCTTTAGTTGAAATTTCTTTCTGTTCATATATATAGGGTTATCACGCCTCATCTGTTTGTTGGTAGCGGTGGAAAGTCGGCGATAGTCGAGCCATTCTTGGAGGGAAAGTTTGTCAAATATATAGGAAATGAGATGATTCAGGTAGATGACGATGGAGACCAAAACAGTATGCGACATGCTGTTTTAGCGATTGCCCATTATGCGCATGAATTCACAAAGGGGAAATTGATATTGACAGATCTCCGAGGTACAGTACATAAGTCGATCATCGTTATGCAACCCTAAAACCTCAAGATTATTAGATGCCACTGCCAAATCTGCATCACGTTTTTAAAAATCACTAAAATCAATTGCTACTCAATTTAACCATAAATTCACCTCCCCTTTAATTACAACACTGCAACACATGCTTTTTATGTATAATCACAAAATGCTGACATTGTATTGTACATTAGCAGTAATGGTAAGTTTAGAAGAAAGAATCATGCCAGATAGTATTTATAACATCCAATGCTTAGTAATATAATTTAATGAATGTAATCCCTTTTGGCATAGGAGTTGGCAAATTCCTGACAGACATTGGAATTGCACCAGAGGAGGGCAGACCGCTTCCAAGCGCTGGGCAATCATGTTTGCTTGTCTGGTTACACGCGGCATCCACATAGAGGTTGTTGAGGAGCTAAGTTCATCATCGTTCATAAACGCTCTTCAAGGGTTCATAGCACTGAGAGGCCCTGTGAAAGAGTTTAGATCGGAGCACATGACCAATTTTGTCGGCGCAACAGACGACCTAGGAATCGATGTGATAAACATTGAAACATGTGGTGTTGGTGCATTCCTGTCTCGCAAAAGAATAGTGTGGAAGTTCAACCCACCCCATGCATCCCACATGGGTGGTTCGTGGGAACGTATGATTGGTCTAGCTCGAAGAATCTTGGACTCTATGTTGAGTGATGTGAACTATAAGGGCTTTACCCATGAGGTGTTGTGTACCCTTGTGGCTGAAGTGTGTGCTATAGTCAACGGAAGGCCAATTGTCGCGGTATCCAGTGATCCAGACTCTCCGACAGTTTTGTCACCATCTCTGATCATCACATGGATGGATCTCTGATGGACATGTACAAATCGCAGTGGCGTCACGTGCAAGTTCTTGCCGAACAATTTTGGAAGCAGTGGAGCAGCCAGTACATCCACACTCTACAGTCACTGAAGAAGTGGCAAGAGAAACGTTGCAATCTATCAGCTGGCGACGTGGTCTTGGTAAAGGACTCCGAACTGCACAGGAATCATTGGCCAGTGGGAGTTGTTGAAGACACATTCCCAAGTGCAGACGGACTCGTTTGGACAGCGTCATTAAAGATACTAGAGCCGTGTCGTATACGCGTCCTGTTAACCAGTTAGTGTTGTTGATTTCCGAGTAACAAATGTTATTTCATGTGAATCGGGACCGCAGGTAGTGATTTGATCTAAAATCAGACGGGGAATGTAATGTTACGCCGTAGACGATGACAATAGATCAAAAGTTTTAATTTGCATTAGCTGCCTTGGCTGCTGTTTTTGGCGCGGATTCTGTTCACAAATAGAGAACAGTGTTGAGGTTTGCGCTCTGGCGCACGTCTTCTAAGCAATAATTAAGAAGAACTAGGTCCCCCCATAGAGTGAGTTGTTTTATACCGTTTTATAGTTATTCGTAGAATTGTTTAACATCATCATAAGTCGTGGCTTTATAGACTTTGTAGACTTCGTAGGCTTGTTAGAACATGCGTGTAACGGTGTATATTTGTGTATGCAGTGAGTGTAGGATTCGTCTTATTGCGATATGTTTACCTAAAATTTACATAGCGTGAGCCTCGATCAGATATAAGCCGTAATACCAATAGCTCAAGTGTGTAATCATTAATCAATGAGAACTTCAATATGAATCAAGATTTTATTAGTAATTGAACAATTATATAACGGTAATACTAATAGTGTTATAGTAATACAGTATAGACTGTAATAGTAATACAGTTAGTGTGAAGCGTGCCTGATGGCCTATAATAAGGAGGCAATGTTCAACCATGTTATGAGTTATAGGTAGCCATTTTATTCCTCCTTATGTTGCTATGTGACGTCATCAACGATGTACATATACGGTATCGATACATGAATATCATATCGTAACATCCCCCTTCCTTTGAAGATAAATACAATCCCCTTTAACAAACCATGTTCTAATAAATTGTACAATATAATGCCATTGACCATAACATGAAATGCTATACTTTTCTAAACTTCTTAATCAACCTTGCTTATTTTAATAACACTTTAAATTAATAAATGTTTGCCCATACTATTATACTGCGGCCATTCGAGAGCGATTAGCGTAACAATGTACTCAAGTAAGCTTATACTATTTCAGTGTACTTCCCTATGGTTCCTATAAGACATATTATTAACTCTCAAGAAAACCTTAACAGGTAACACATGGATCCAATAACTTGCTTGACCCAACAAGCCAGACGACAAATTAACAATAACGGCAGTCTTTTTGACCCTGCCATATCCTTCAACTACATAACACATTGGGGGCCAACTTGGTGCCCTCCTCCTTCCTTAAAAAAAAAATGCAAAAGAATAATATTTGCTTACATCAACCAAGAAAAATCAGTGTCTCTGACTTTTCAT